ATTTTGGTTTTAGTCACTCTTGTAACAGAACACTTTTAAGGACCATGCAGACAGGGCCGGATTAAAGCCTTCGTAGGCCCTAGACACCTTATGGATATTGGACCCTCAACCAACATTCTGTTATTTATATATATATACATGTATATTATATTCCCTTCTTCTTCTTGCAGGTAAATAGCTGAAACATGTTGAATGGTTATCAAAGAAAACATGAATCTGGGCATGCCAAAAGAAAGAAAAGAGGATCCATGGAAGAAGAGATATGAAAACAGCAAGGTTCAATGTTAACATTTTTAAAAAAGGATGACGCAACAGCTGACAGTTCTGGTACTTCAAGAAGTGGAGGACAGGACATCTCTATCTGTGAGACTGGTGATGTAGCAGCATCTTCTTGTTTTCAACAGGAATGTGGTGTTCAAGAAGATTGTTCTCCACCTGAACCACGACCACCCGTGTCGGCTGTGTGTGAGGACTTATTCCAGTGATTTGGAGGAATCCTTTGTGATGAATTTGTTATTCTCAAACATGTACCCGTAAAAGAAAACAGGTTAATGAAATGCTGAAGTAACTAAACAACAATGGACTCATAATCAGTTTTCCTAATGTCCACATTGCATTTCGAATTTATCTTTCACTGTTTGCAACCAGTTGTGAAAGTGAGCAGTCCATCACCAAACTTAAGAGAATCAAAAACTGTTTAAGATCAACTATGGGCCAAAACCGGCTCTCTTTCCTTACATTTGATTTATTTTGATATACTGTATGTGAGCAATTTTGTTTAATGTTTGAAAAAACCTTCTCTCATTGTTTGGTTTTCTTCTATTAAAATGAAATATAATTATTCTATATTTTTAATACTTATTTTTTTATAATTTTATAATATTTAAATTTCTTAAATGATTTGAAATATACTTTTTGTAGGCACCAATTTTTCGTAAGCACTAGGCACTGTGCCTAATGGATAATAGGGCTCTGAATGCAGACATATTCGTTATCCTTGTCATATTGATGTTATATAATTTTTGTATAATTTTCATTAACTAATTTAAAGATATTTTTTATTATTAGCATTTGTGAAGAAGTTGAGATGAAAAGCAAATGAAGAGAGAAGATGCAGTAAGGTCCACTAAAAAGATGTCCATATTTGTAGTTTTTACTCTAATACAAGTACTGCTATCATATGTATAGTGTTTTTAGTTCTTTTACTCACAACAAATTACAATGAACCTGTAATTATACTATAATATATGATTTGAAAAATATGCAGCATTTATGCTATTAGTTTATTATTCTTAATTGTTCAGGAGACAGCCTGTTTAAGATATCATTTTATTTACTACTTGTTCCCAATTTATATCAGTTTCAGAAATTTGCACCCCTCATCAGCAATCTTGGACAAGAGCAGATAACAAAAATACAGTTTTCACTACATGAAACCTATTATTTTTTTATTTTTTTGCTCTAATCAAGGGTGGAATTTCACAAAACCTGTAGAATTCAGTGACAAGGGGTAAATAAAATGCTACTTGGCTTCATAATTATTTTAAATTAACTATAACAGTATAAGCTTCAACTACACAACTGATACTGTTTTCCAAAGTAACCCAAGTATTTTATAACCTTCTTGATCCAAATCATTGGTAAGATATAAACTTAAGATGTATATCACTAGGTCAAGGCTAATTTCTTTGCTGTAGACACAGTGAACATCACTAGTTTATCTATGTACAATACAAATATTATGCATACTGCATAATTATACTACACAAGTTACATTTACACTTATTAATGAACTAAGTAACTTCATCTTTCTTAATAAAGTTAACGTTTACTTTTTCTGTCAAACCAGACTAAAGAACTTAATTAACTAGTTAGTCTTACCTCAGTCTTACTCTTAGTAGCCTGACTGGAGTTACTGGAACAGTTATGTTGCAACACAAACAATTATTAGTATTACATAGTTATACAAAAAATCATCAAAGTAGCATTAATAATAATAATATCACTATTACATTACGATAAATAAAAGTTTAATATAGTAGTACCAATAATGGCGATAGTATGTATGATAACATAATTTAATATAAGTTATAATTATTTATACTATACCATAGTTTACAATTTTAAGTTTTTATAATTTTAACCTTTTGAAATCCCTCATGAGCCTTCTTCGAGCAGGAGTAGACATTCCAGATATTATGTGTGAAGTCCGAATTGACGATAAAACTATTGTTTTCTGTAAACTTTAAGGAAAATAATAGCCACCTATTACTTTTAGTATTAAAATTTAACTAAATCTACAAATATAACTTCTCAGCTGCTGATACCAAGCCTTTCAGTTTCTAGGGTCAGCAGTTTTGCAGATCAGCTCGTTGATGACGTTTTTATCCGGGTATCTTAGAGTGACGTCATCAGTGCTTGCATCAACTATCATTCCTTGAACTCGTTGCTAAAATCACTCACGTTGCAGTGGGGGCTATTGGAATTGTGAACAATAACACAGGAATAAGCGAAAAGATAAGACGCATTGGAAGATTGAGTCAAAAATATAAAAAAAAGGCTCGAGATTGAACGATCTCTTTTTACACCTATTAGATACCAATATTTTTTTCTTTATCGAAAAGAAATATTCAAATATGCCTAACATTAGTGATAACAATCATGCAAATTTCAGGTGTTGTTTTCACACACTCTAGATTTATAAATTTCATATTCTTAAAAAGAGGCGTGGCTACCTCAAATTACTGCCCAAGAGGCCTTTCGATAATATCAGAACTCGTTAGTAAATGTTAGGTGTGTTGTTTCTAATGCTTCGCAAACTTTCGGTTTTTAAACTACAACTTTTAAAGCAATTGTTCATAGTTTATTACCGGATAATACAAAATTCATTATTGTAATCATGTTTCCTAGATTTTAAAATTTTTCTGGTGAAATTTAGCAGTGTTGAGTGTATTATGAAGTTAACAATACGAAACACAAACATACTACTAAACTATAAATTCTCAAGTACTAACAAATAAGAACCCGGATAACTGACAAATGTTCTACAGTCATCAGAGAAATGTAAAAATGTATTTTGTTTTTATTTTAACACGCACGTCTATATATTTGGAAATCCCGAGAAGCCCGGCATGGCCAGGTGGTTAAGGCACTCGACTCGCAATCTGAGGGTCGCGGGTTCGAATCCTTGTCACACCAAACATGCTCGCCCTTTCAGCTGTGGGGGCGTTATAATGTGACGGTCAATCCCACTATTCGTTGGTAAAAGATTAGCCCAAGAGTTGGCGGTGGGTGGTGATGACTAGCTGCCTTCCCTCTAGTCTTACACTGCTAAATTACGGACGGCTAGCGCAGATAGCCCTGGTGTAGCTTTGCGCGAAATTCAAAACAAACAAACAATTATTTGTTTTAATACCAGGAAGAAGTGAAATTTCAGCAAGTTATATATTATCTTGTTAGAGTAAACAGAAGAGAATCCACGCAATTTAATCATTTCTGTATCTCAAATAAAATCAGAAAATATGGCATAAAACTATAGTGGAGGAAATTAATGATAAAACTCAGAACTTGGCAGAAAACTTTAAAAAATACCTTGCAAGAACAAAAAAAAAATATTTAGGAAGAAAGAAGTGGTACCAGAAATTTACAAATATGTTAAAAGAAGTGACCAGAAAACTAAAGAGATGTTTACAAAAATATCTTAAAAAGCTTAGAGAAGCCATGGAAGAACGCTAATAAAAATTGAGGGTAATAATCAAGAGCATAACAAAAACTAACTTATAAAAGCATAACAAAGAGAACTACAAAATATGTTAAGAAAATACTATGAAATATTTAAGAAGAAAATAATATAAGTATTCTGAAGGGATGGATATCGTTAATGCCCCACTTACTATTAGCAACAAAATTCACAAAAAACATTGATATCAGACTCACAGAACCCGCAAGAACACACAATTTCTCATAGAACGAATCGGTAAAACCTTTAGATTTCAAATATAAGATCATAGCAGGAAATCAAATAAAGACTGACAAACAGAGTGAATCATTTGCAAAAATGGCTTGTTTGTTGACAATCAAGCCATCTGGATTTCTGTCAGATCATGCAGTGAGACAAGAACTACTCTAGACACTATAACTATGCTAATGAAACAAAAAGAACTATACAAATTACTTCAGTTTTCCATTCATACAACTTGTAACTGAAAACAACACAAGCATATCCAATTATATCGTACATGATTGCAGCCACCTTTTGAGACAAATAATTTAGGAAACAGCTCCTACCTTCACAATACATAGAGAAACCAATAGTTTATAATGGCTAACCACTATGTGAAGCATGTATGACTCAATATGTTATTACGATATCAAAGGAACATCGAAAAATAAGTAGCCAGGATACATATCAGCCATTAATTTCTGCTGTTTTATGTCGATTTGCAATGAGTTATCTCGAAGACACGCCTTTATGGAAGTTCAGAAGTGGTTTGAAGAGAGAGAGAAAAGAAACGCATCAAGAACATTCTAATAATGAAGACGCATTTGTTTAATTGCCCTTCCCAGAATACGAAATCATTATCAAAATATCAGTTCATATGTTCCATTCACTGAAATATAATCAAGCAGACAACAATTATTGGCAATAAACTTTCTAACTCAACTCGATAAAACACATAATTATACTAAATCTAGCATGTACATCTTAAAGCTGAAAAGGGTTTTAAGTGTAAAAACGCAAGCCAACTTCTAGGCGTAAACAACACACTACAGTACAGAATATTACAGACAGGTAAGTGAAAATTGCAATTTTTTTAACAACAGCCCGATGATAAGCACGAAAAAAGTGAATACTTCAAAAAATAAAGTTTTGAAAACCGATAAGGAAATCTTTCTAGAACACCAGATCGAAGGTAAAATAATTACTGTTTTGCTAGTAGAGTTTATTTGAGAAAGATATATTAGCTAGACTTGAGGACAAAATTCAGCTTAGATAAATAGAACTGTCCTATTTTAAATAGGAAGCTTGTTGTTAAGGGCACTGGCTCAACAGATAGAGAAGCCATGAAATAGATACATCATGTCACATTTATCTTGTACGGTGGATCAAAATCATTATTGTACGACCAGACATTGCATTCAGCAATAAGAAACTGCCTTCACAAAAGAAACTAAAGTATGGATTGATGAGATTTATAGGTGGTAATCAAATTTCAGCTAAGAAACAACTGAAGGTAAAATTGCCAAAGGAAGTTTTTCTATACAGCATGAGTAACTAGCTTGAAGCGTGAGTGATATACATAGAAAAGCAGGAGTGGAAACAGTTTTGTCAACTTCTTCATTTGAGGATGAGCATATTAATTGCTACTAACCAACAGATAGTTGATGTCCCAGTTGTAAGTAAAACACTACTACCTACACGTGTGAAAATTAAAATTAAAAATTAGAGGATGGAGCATTGAAAGGACTCGGAAATTAAAAAAACCTCGTTCACAAAGATCATTAATTAACAAAACCTTAATAGATCAAAAACTAGTACAGTTATCTTATAAATTTTGAAAGTTACAGATTATAAAATAAGGATAAAAAATTATATTTCTATAAATGTTAAGTGTGAGGTAGAAGAAATGAAAAACAATAGAGTGAAAAACACGAGTGAAAGAAAGCATAAACTTGTAATGTCAATGGATTTAAGTTAGGCCTACAAATGAAGAAGGTTTTTTCATTTTATCTCTATGAGTAGTGACGGACTTGTTAATACTAATGAATAGGATTCTCCATGACCTTTTATTGAATAATAAGACATGCCTTCTCTATGGTGAATCCAAAAGCTCAGAAGAACAAAAGTGACTCTGGAGATAAGGCATCAATATGTCGGTACACCAGGGCCGTCGAGAGCGGCGGTGGGCCTTGGGCCCTCATCTGAATCCAGGAGCTGAGCCCCTGATGGGAGATCAAGAGGGAAGCTCTAGACTTTTAGTAATTTTAGCAATATTTTAAGTCTTAATACCACTAAGTTACGGCTTAAAGTGCCGATTTTCTTTATGAAATTTTCCGTGGAGAAAGGCCTTTAACAATCAACAGTATCATTTTGAGAAAAGAAAAAACATAAACATCTGTTCATTTAAATGGATAATTTATTGAAAGTTTAAACACATTGTTAAGAATTACTTTAATAAGTTCAGTAATGTAGAATTGTGATAACTAAACGAAACATGCTTTGCTGCTTTTTTTAAAGCAAATATTTTTATGATTTCACTGAAATCAATTCTCCCCGCAAGTTCGCTCTCAATACTAAGGACGGCTAGGTCATTCAGTCTCTTCTGTCTCTTGATGAGTTTTAGTTTGCTGAAAGATGTCTCAGCAGATGCTACTGTAACTGGCAATGTGCAGAATATTCGCAGTGCAATACTTACATTTGGAAAAATGCCATCTAACTTGTACCTTTTTATTGTTTTTAAAAGTTGATATGGCCCCATATCTTCATCAAAGTTTGATACATGTATTGCTTTAAGGTGCCCCATTTCCTTTGCATGGATTATGAGAGTTCGTCTGGGTATTTGTCCACTAATCTTGCGCATGCAAGTTTGAGTTCCTCTTCTGTCATGTTTCGATATTGCCACAGAACGCAGAACAATTTATTAATTGTGTTTGCAGCGACAAACCGCTTTTACACTCCGTCAATCAACGAATCTATGACAACAAAGAAGACATTCCGTTTGAATTCAGATTCGGGCTCATCAGAGCCATCACAATAATTTTCTAGGACGTTCTCCCCTTGTTCATCCTCCTCAATGACAATAAGTCTTGCTCTTTTTTTAACTTTCCTTTTTGATAGGAGAT